CTTTGGGCGGGTACGTGGCGGGTATCACCGTGTATGCATGTAATCGGGATTCGACCTTTCCCTTCTTGATGGTATTTTAATGTGTTTGGGTGGACCAGTGTTATTGCACTTCCTGTATCCAGTGTGGCCGTCTGTGTTTTCCCGTCTAAACATACTTTTCGGGTGGGAGCTTCGGGAGGGACGTTGCGATGTACCACGCACCCTGCCGTCCAGGCCGGGGCCGAGAGTGTTGTTGGCTCTGTGGGCATCGGCTCGTCGACTGGGCTGGGGACCGCCGGTCTGCTGCCTGGTCGTGTTGTGCCCTCCACCGGTCGCCATGGTGCATTTACCCTCCGGGGTGGCAGAGCCGCTCTCTCCCCAGTCTCCCGGGCCACGTGAGCTTCCGCCAGCTCTACCGCCTCCACCAAAGCGGCCAGCGAGTCGGGGTTCCTCATGCTGGTAAGTGTGCGGAGCCGTCTGGGTAGCGCCCTCATCATCTTTTCAATGACTACTTTCTCAGCGACCTGGACTGCGGTTGTATCTCCTCCCAGCAACCATAATCTTCCCAATCTGGATAAGTTGGCTGCTTGGATCCGAACCGGCTGTTTGTCATCATAGGACCACTGAGAAAATTGTTGTGCTGCGCTTATATTGGAGAGTCCCATTCTGGCGAGTATCTCCTTTTTTAATGCTTTATAGTCGTCATTTTTCGGTGTCTCTAATGCGAAATAAGCTCTTTGAGCTTCTCCAGTCAGGAATGGCGCTAGCATCCTCGCCCAACTTTCCTTCGGCCATCTCTCTCTTTCCGCAATTACCTCAAAGGTGTGCAGGTAAGCATCAATATCATCCAGGTCGCTGAGTTTTGTGATAAATCTATGGGCGCTCACCTCAGAGAACTGGCTGGAACCGGCCGCTTGGCGGAGCTGTTGTTCCATACGGTCTTGTCTGGCGGTGAGTTGTTCAGTTATCACTTGTTGTCTTCTTGAGATTTCCGCTAGATGGCGTACTACCTCTTCGATCGACATGACTCAGGAGGGGATGACAGCCGAGTAAGAGAGCGTGAGTGAGAGAGAGAGCGGATGCCTGTCTGTAAACAGAAGAAAAACAGAGAAAATTCAGTGGTTACTTCTTCTTACTGGTAAGTGCTGAATTTTTTTCCCTCTGAAAAAGCGCGCATTCTCCACCAGTTGTAGCGAGGCAGAGGGAAAACAGCGGCACAACAGGATGAGTTTACAGACAAGTCCCCGGAGGGTGCTTTATTTACAAAGTGAATGTGCTGTAAAAGGTGCTCTTCTTTAGGGTGAGGTGCTCTGGTGCTCCGGGAAGTAGGTGAAGGACGGTGAGTAGTCGGGTGCAGGATCGTCACTAGCTGGAGTCCGCTAAGGAGAGACAGAGAGACAAGCATTAGCACAGGGAGTCATAGAAGGAATGAAGCTCATCTTCTCCTGGCGTAGGTTGGGCTTATATGTCTCTCCGCTTGATGAGCTCCAGCTGTGTCCGATCCTGGCTTGATGAAGGTCCAGCTGGGTGAAATTTGCGACCAGGGCGACGTGGCATATAATTGCTCGTTACAATATATATATATATATATATATATATATCAATCGGCGAATTTGATTTAAGAGCATTTGTGTGTGTTCATTCTCGTTCAGATTGTTAGTGTGCCCGCATCATTTCTGTTGCTGCTGAATGGGAATATTCATGCTACTGTCAGAGTGATGTCTAAACACCTTTTGACTGTATTATAAATCGAATTGAAGGCCCAGTCATGTTGGCAGATTCAGAGCTAACAACTGTATTGAGCTATTTGTATTGCAGTGATTTGTGCCCTTGTTTTTTTTTTTTTGCGCCAGAGCGCATTTTGTTAATTTTACTTTGCTGTGTCTAATGAGTGACTCAAATTAATTTTTTTGCCCATTTTGGACAGTTAAAAATTGTGTTTGGGACTTTTTATATGCTGTAAACCAGTTGCAAGATGAAACTGTATGTCTGTAACAAAATATAAAACATTCAAAGTATTTTAAATAGCCACTTAAGAGCTAAAATGTGCTGTCCACGTATGTGGCCACTAAGCCCTAGGAGGTTAAAGGTTCACAGTGAATCCAAACAGCGAATCTAATAATGAATCACTTAAGTCAAACACACCACTGATGTATCAGCTGTGAATCCTGATAAGAGTTTAATGTGCACAATCACCAAGTTTTTTCGTGCCTGTGAACCATCATACCTGGAAAAGAAAAATATTTGAATCATCAGAGTTAATATTGAATAAACTAAAGCCACAACCATAATCATGTCTTATAGTGTTAAGTTACGGTTCGTGCTTCACCGTGAAAGTTAACAATAGCTGCAATATTTATGTACTTAAAGCCTTTCTATGTATACAAATAAAGCAATCAAGACATGTTTATTTCAAACATTTGCAACATTGCCGACTCTGAATACTTTTAATCATCTTTTATATACTGTTCTAAAGAACTGATTTATGATTATGAATAATGATTTGTGGATATGTAAATTGTGATATTTCTATTATATTTGTAGTCTTTGTATGAAACTTTTATGTGGTGCCGTCATAACCAGATCTTACTGGAAAAAGAGATACAGGAGTAATATCTTAATGGGATCTCTTGACTGAATTAAGGAATAATTTCAATTTTTGAAACCACAACAACAACTAGTACCCGGAAATTAATTACATCCATAATGTATGCTGTTACTGCACATGTAAAAGCCATGTTAATGGACTGTGATAATGGATTCCTTATTGTGTTATATTGCATAAACGAATGCGTTTAACCTCCGGCACACCCAAACGAAAGCTATAAAGCTCACCAAAATCCCATTACCATTGATGTCGCTCATTTGATCTCTGCCCACAACATTTCTCAATCTCTGATACAGCTGATGTACTGTAGCTTTATATTCGCACAAATAGAACATACATTCAACCAACAATGAATAAAGGTAAGACTTTTCGACTTGTTTTCTTTAACAAATCTTTTACCCTTTCAACTTGTTAAAGTTTTAGATTAATAAAAATGTGTAAACACATATAGGTAACTCTAAATGTTTGTGTAAAGAATAGTATGTGACATCTATATTGTTGTTTAGCATGTGTGATGACCAAATGACAAAAATGTAAAGATGTTTACTGGGTTGTTTACTGTTGAACAACTGTTGAATGTGTATGAATAGAAATGAACTATTCAACATAAACTACTAGTATTTAAAGCTGATTTAATGTCCTGCACAGGGAGCCATGTGAATTATGAAATAATCATTGCCATCCTCCTGTTTTCAGGTAAGAAACAAATCACGCCTTTTCATTTCTTATACCTTAATTTAATCTTCAAGATAAAAGTTTTTTTTTTTAAGTATTAAAATGCTTATTTCACCAGCCCAAAAAAATAATATTAAAGCCTTATTTTGCAGTGTGGTTAGTTTAAATTGATTTCCATGTGGTTTGAGGGTTTGAATGTCACACTAAGGTATATTTTATCAAATAAAGAAAAAATTAATGGAGATTGATGCTTAATTGCAAAACTGTATATTTGTGTATTAAATTAACACATTGTTTTACCCTTAAATGATGATGATTATTATTATTGTTCAATTTTAAAACCAGCAGAAACACTTATTATATTAAAATAAACAAGCCTTCTTAATTTCTGGATTATTTTTGATAAATTGTAAACACTAGGCATGGCAAGTTTACTTATAACACATTTCATTCCCTTTTTCTTCCGGTTTCGCAGTGTATCCTTATTTCCGCCTACACAGAACTCCTCCTAGAAAACTCACCCAGTCAGCTGTATACATATTATTATCTGATAAGTTTAGACCATGACTCGTGGCTATTATCTGTATAATAGATACATTTAGACTGTGACTCGTGGCTGTTTTCTGCATTCAAGGTGAGAGACCTAAGAAAATTTACAAAATAGCCAGGTTTCCTTTTAAATTACTTTAAATCAAGTGAAAAAAGACATAAATAAAACATTTATGTCTATTTAATATTCAAATTGGGCAGCACTGTGGCGCAGTGGGTATCACATTTGCCTCACAGCAAGAAAGTTGCTGGGTCAGTTAGCATTTCTGTGTGGAGTTAACATGTTCTCCTCGTATTGGCATGCATGGGTTTCCTCCGGGTGCTCTGGTTTCCCCAAAGGGAACTAAAGGTACTAAGCCGAAAAGAAAATTAATGAATGAATAATACTCAAATTAAATGAAATAGAATACCAATGTTGTTTGTGACTTTTATTAATCAAATTAAACTATAAAAATGTATAGATGCAACAATAACATGAAGAAGACTGCATTTTAATTCAGTATTATTAGGTTCTAGAATTATTTGTGACGTTATTAAATAAACGGTAATACTAATATCAAATTAAATCCACCCAGTAGGTGATGGCAGGACACTGTCTTAATTCATTCAAATGGAGAAACTAAACAAAACATTAATAGATTAGTCAATAAAAAAGTAATGAAACTGATTTCATTTATAGACGACATACTTATCAGGCAAATGTGAAGATTTAATAAAGAATTTTACACATGCTTGAACATTTACATAAAACAGATAAAATACATTTATATTCAAAGCAGCATCAAAGTAAAAATGAATCAATTTTCGAATACACAAAATAAAAATTAAATAAACTTAATTGATCTGTGAAAAGGTTGCTAACATATACTTCCCTTGGTAGCTTATTCCTATTCTTAATAATTTAAACTATCATTTTCAAACTCAGAAAGCAGTTCAGTAGTGAAGCATTTGGACACATGCCCAATACTTTAATAGTCTTAAATCACAACGTGCAATGTCAATATTTTCAGTTGTACATTTTCCAGAGAAGTATTTAATTTACCAAAGGTAAACGGGAACTAAAAGTACACTGCAATGCCCATAGGGAAAAGTGAAGTGACGTTATTGTGAAAAGGACCAACACAATGTGCTTTACATAAACAAGAATAATAGAAATACAACAAGTATAAGACATTAAAAATAACAACGTGAATAATAATAATAAAAGTAAACAAAAAATAAAATAACAAAAATGTGTTAAAATAAGCATCATTATAATCGCTAGCTGGAGAGCAATAGTGTTTATTTGACCACACATTCAAATCGTATGCACTTTAAGAGGGGAAAGACAATACTTTTTTTTGTCTTCCACAGATGTCTGTTCGAAAACGAAACAAGATTATGGAATATTCACAGCATGTGTCAACACAAACCAAAGCCTAACGCTTAGATGTTTTTACCCACGTTGTGAAAGTGATAAAACGCCCTTTCACTGTAACCTGTATGATGCTGAGGGAGACAGAAGAACTCTAGTTAGCAGCTCAGCACAGTCTGAAGAGTGTCGACACACTATCAATGATGACCACATTACCATTTACCATAACAAGACCAAGATTTACATATGTATTCTGTCACGGAGATCAGCTCTGGAAGAAAGGACAATCACTGTGAACCATGCCAATAAAAAAGGTTGGTGATTGTTTTAATTAAAATATTTTTTTTTATAAATAATAAAACATGAATGAAAATTTCACCCAAAAATTAGATTTATAACCAGGCCATTCAAGATGTATCCTTTCTGAAAAGAACCTGGAATGTTCTTCTAAATCCATAATATCTCAACCCTGCAAGAGAAGAAAATCTTAGAGAAAGTCAAATGGTTTCCACTGCAAATACAAATTTTATCCATTAAAATCAGGACATGAGAAGTTCAGATGCAAAAACCTCTAAATGCCGTCTGAAATGTTCTTCTTAAATGGGCATTTATATCAGGCTCCTGTGTGTAATTTCTGTAATTTCACTTTTATAGCAAAATAATAAGTCCTTTTCATAATATTCTATGTTAAATAACTCAACGTAAACAAAGAAGGCTGAGAATACTGCCCATTTTTTCAGACGGCACTTAGAGGTTTTTGCATCTGGACTCTTCACATATTTTCCATTAGGATTTAATAGTTTTGACATGCCACTAATAGAAGGGAACGATTACTGAGATGGGAGGGCTCTTTTGTTTTTCTTCAGCTGAAGAGAAATTAAGCTTTTGAAGGAAAACATTTGAGGATGGAAGTGAACAGGCTTGATGCACGTTTTTCGATTCTCTTTTCTTGATGTCATTTTTCGATTCACATTAAAATGTAACTAAAAATAAATGCATTATTAGGCAGCTTCAAAGTAATTACGATGACCCTAGGCACCTACCCAACGCGCATAAATCCCTTGATAGGTTGTGGACTAAATCTTCTTACAAACTTGCATCACAAAGTGAGACCATTGTGAGCATTTTTATGTAAAAAGTATAATAAAAAAAAATCTGAAAATGTATATATATTAATCGTTTCACTTGCCCTGATTTGTCAGCTTGGCCTGTGTGTTACTTTGAGCCTGTGCACTTGCATTAGATTAAAAAAACATATTGGAGTGCTTTACTTTAAAACCATTATTTTTTGTTAGCTGAAGGAATAATCTTATATGAAAGAAAAAATGTTTGGGTGAAATTTTCCTTTAGTCCATTCTAATTATTTTTTTTAATTATTGATTATTGTTTAGTTAAAAATGTAATAAATAAAAGATGTGTTCTTTTCTCTTGCATTCACATTTAAGTTATACAATATTTGCAACTAAAAATGTGGTATTTTAAATGTTGCCTGGCCAATATCCTTCAACTTTTAACAGATTAATCCTTTTTTTGTGCTTCCAGAGCGACCACATAAATGCAAATCGGGAGGAGAATACACACGTGTCTCAGGATTGCTTTACACAATAGCATTTCTTTTCTTTCAAGAAACTTATTTATAAATGCATAGCTCTTTAAAAGCAAACTCAGACATCAAATTTTGATAAAATATTATTAAAGCTATAAAGCAGGGACATATAAGATGTGACAAATTCATTATCATTTACTAGCATTTATATGTTTCTTCATATAAGGGCATTTGTGCCTTGCCTTAAACCAAATTCCATAATCCTAGTTAACACGTTTCTAAGTGTGCAGTGCATGCATCATGATGAAATCATTTTGTGTCTGTGTGTTGTTTATTATCTGAATGTCATGCAATTTTTTGCTGCTTTGTGCGGTATTCACACGTCTCAAAATTAGCATTTGTCATTTTCATCTTTGTTATTTTGATAGCCAAGGGTGTATTTGTATTCATCGTTAAGTTTGCAGTGGTGGAAAAAATGATGTTGTTTAAATACAGTATATATTTCAGAAATTAAGCACTGGAATGACTGATTGTTTCACACTCTGTTTAGTTCAAGGCTGTGATCATTTATTCAACAATTCTTACAGTCAGTTCAATATTTGCTGTTATTACAAAAGAAACTAGTGGATAAGAGACTTAAAAATCCACTGATTTGGGTGTCACCTAGTGGATGTTTTTGGTATAGCGCCTGAATATAATCTCATGAACCTCATTTTTACATTTGGAAAGTAAGACATGGTTTTTGGGATTTTCATATAACATTATAATATAATAATATATATTATTTTTATTGTTATTTTTTAGAATACAAGTTCTTACAGTAAAGGGTCTTTATCTTTTTACCCTACGTTAAGTGAGACGAAACTTTTATTAAGTAACGTTAGCCATTTGTTTAAGTAAACATTCAAGTAACGTTAAGGACAGTTTTTATAATGTTCAAAACGGGAGTGTATTTTAACAAAGACTATATCAGCTATTAAATAAGAATTATTATTACTTTGTATCACATAATTAGCAACTAACGTATTGTTGCTAAATCTTGTTTAACAGTTATAAGTACAAATGTTAAGTATGCCTACCTGAGGAACAATATCGAAGGAGAAACAATAAGACCATTATAACTGTAATGGATGGCTAACAAGCAGGAAGCAGCAGCTATATATTTACTGGCTGCGCCCTATCTCCCGACGCTGGTTAGCTCAGTGGTTACTTCCGAAAATCTTACTGTTGATTTCTCTCCCGTCATGGGATCGAACCACGGGCACCGTCCAGCGTTTTCTTCGGGCGAACTTTCCACAACACGAAACGACTCTCTAATAAACATTTTGTTAAACATAACTTAATTTAATAACAAGGTAACGTTAATCCGAAACAATTTACCGTTAACATAAACATTGGGTTTTCTGTGGTTCGACAAGTGAAGGGCTGGTTTGTTATATCCACTTGCTATAAAATCGACTCGATTTACTTTTTTAAACAACCTAACCAGATTAAGTTCGTAATAATAGTATAAAATATCTTGTTACAGTAATGTCAATCGAGGTACACATATTTGAGTTGATGCTGTGCGCATGCGCAGTTAAGTACGTTTCCTCTGGCTGCGGCTACTGTTGTAAACAAGACGCCTCGAGATCAGTAAACGGTGAGATGTGAATTAAATCTCATGTTTCTTTTGCTCTTTTCAACTCTGTTTTTATGATGGCTATATATAGCTCCAAAATTTTTATTTGCGTATGCGACTTAAGTAAAACAGTCTCGGTTATTTGTCTAAGCTTGCCACAAAGCGCTAGCTAGCTAGCTACCCATTCAACTGAAATCATTTTGAAATGTATAGCTTATGCATGTATGTTTATTTAGTTAGCCATCGTGTGCCTATAATAAGGTAATTATTAATGTATTTAATATCTGCAACGTAATGCACAACCAGTGTAAGTAACTTAGTGCATACACATTGTTAGGAGTGACTCCTGTTGGACACTTCTGTTAATAACGTTACAACAGTAAATGTTCATTTTTACAAATATGTTGTTATTAAAATTACTCCTCTCTTTCCAGTTCAGATTTTATAAGACAACAAGAAGTGGTAACACAAATTTTACTTGTTACATACTGACAGTGGAGATGAAAGGGTTTGTATGATATACTATTATCTTCATAAATGATAGGAGTATTTGTTACACTATAGCCATTGTAATGCAACTATTCTATCATAATAATCTAAACTTCTGTATTTTCAGACAACCGAAAAGTTCTGAACCTGATGTCAGTGTTCCAGTCATTGAAGAAGGTATTATCAGGTTACTTGTAAAGCAGCATTATGAGTTTTTTAAAATATATTTGGAGAATTGATGTGTCTTATTGTCGCAGGGGCAGTTGCTACTGCAGAAGACCCATCAGCAATCACAACTATTCAATCTGCTTCTACGTTTTCCACGGACCAGCCGATTAAATACCTTTTCAAGACGGAGGGAGCTGGGGGGCAGGTAGGGGAGCTGTACCCTCCCTCAGGGCAGGTAGGAGATGGGGAGGAACGGTTTGTGCGAACTGCCCAGTTTACACCTGGTAGTGACATTCGTCTCAGTGGTCCCTTCACAAGTGGTCAGCTGAGACAGATACATTTTTGCTTCTAAATATACCAGTACAATGCTTTTGAAAAACAGGTTTACAGTTTTTTTTTTTTTTTTTACAGTTCTGTCCTTTTTAGATGTTAGGTTCAGATCAATCTAATTGGTCACATGGAACAGTGTTCATCAGATTGAATGTTAACAGCATTTACACCAGACCATAAGTCCTTTTAAAATGATAGTTCACCCAAAAATGTAAATTTACTCACTGTTTACTCAACCTCAAATGATTCTAAACCTTTATTAGTTTTTTTGTCTTCTGTTGAACACAAAATTACATTTCTGAAGAAAACCTTTATCCACCGACTTCCATAGTATTTGTTTTTCCTACGATGGAAGTCAATGGTTACAGGTTTCCAGCTTTATACAAAATATCTTCTTTTGTGGTCAACAGAAGAAAGTCAAACAGGTTTGAACAGAGTAAAGGGTGCATAAATCATGACAGAATTCTTTTAAATTTAAGACAACTTTAATACAAATTTTAGTAAAAGTATGTCCAGTTCATTGAAATCATGAAGCATGAGCCAAATAAGTTTTACTTTTTCTCAAATTTATTTACATTTCTTTTTTTATTTAAACATGGAATGTTAAAATTTGTAACTATTCTTCAAAAATAAAATTTGTATTTTTATTGCTTTTAAAAGGACATTCTGCTGTGCAATATTATTGTATTTTCTTAGCAATTTGTTTCAAGTTAAAGACTTAATCTTTCGCAAAGATGTTTGTTTTTCTAACAGGAATATAACAGGTAGAAGTATAACAGGAATTGGATAATTTTTCTAGATTATGTTTATTATTTATATCCATAGTTGTTTATATTCATAAATGTGCAGAAATGTAATGACAGTGTGCGGTAATGTAGCTGTTGTTTATAAAAAATTGAAAAATTTGTGGACAGCCCAATTTGTGAATTCTAGTAATAAAATATTCTCTTTATTATTTCCCAGTTGTATATTATAACATATTAGAAGCCATTAAAATCCAATTTCTGACTAGGAAACTAGTATTTGTGTTAATTTTTATAACACATGAAGGGAGCTTTAACTCTGCAGTAATATTGAAAAGCATTTATCAGTGACCTCTCTTAATTACATAGGGTAGCATTACAGACTAGCTTAGTTTTCGAAGATTGTATTGCATAACTTAATTTACTCTCTTCATTTTCTTCAGGTTACATACCGAGTAATCCAGGTTGCAGATGGACAGCTAGAGGCTCAACCTGATGGTACAACAGCTGTTAGTGTAGTGACTGGGTTTCCTGCCACAACACAGCCGGTTACGCAGGTGGAGATCTGTTTATTACTAACCGGTCATATATAAATCTAAACAAACATGAGTGCATCTAGTTTCATCATGACTTGTATGTTTTTCAGGCTGTTTTCTCTCAGTCAGAAGGCTTGGAGGGAGATGGCACAGAAACCCATTACACATATTATCCTGCTACTATCTCAGATGCTACTGCAGGCACAATGGTGACAGGTGTTCAGGCCTCAGATGCTCTGCTCAGTCAGAGTGCTTCTGCAGGTACATCAACAAACTCTTTTTATACAGATGTAAACAATATGAAAAAGTTGTGAGATTTAATGCTTAATACAACCTACATTCAATACAATCTAAAACTTAATATGTAGTCTTATGGCCTGATAACAAGGAGGGAGAGACAAACAAATATATATAATAATAATTATAAATAGGAATGGTCCGATCAGGATTTTTGCAGCTGATACAGAATACCGATTCCTTGTCATGGTGATCGTTTGATACTGAGCTCTGATTCTGATTCTTCAAGCTTTATAATGAATTAACCACGTTTTCCCTCTAAGTATGAACTTTAAGTAGCGATCTCTCCTTGCCTAAGAGAATAAATTAGAGATGCATATAATTCCTTAAACGGGTCTCTTATAACCATTTAGTGTGGACATGTCATGGCCAATAGCAGCTTTACAGAACAGATAGCACAGGCAAAAAAATTGTAAGAAATTGACTAACAATGCAATTTGGAAACAACATGTCTGAATCAAGAAGCACATATTTGATGCATAAAAGGTTAAAACAAACCTGCAAACCTATAAATCTATTACTTATTTAAGGGAAATAAGGAAATAGGCCTGTAAACTACTGTTTATTGCAATAAGCAAGGTAAACTTGCCATATTGACCAAAACACAGAACTTTCAGTTCTTATATGTAAAAAGGCCTAAATACATGCAAGGTCATTTAAATATTTTGCTCATTTCCAACTAACACAAACACTTGCGATTTCACATTGCATGACTTTACAACAGGAAGAATTGCCGACAACTTCATCCAAACTACCTCTCTCAGCCAAAAACACTTAGTATATCTTTTGTTATTAACTACATAACGAGAAAGAATCCTTTAATGGGTAGAAAATGTATGCATTTGCTCACCTGTGTTTGAAAGGAATTAGCAATTTCTCCTCAACTTTCTTTTTTAACTTTCCGTATGAAACGTCAAACAAACCGAAAATAAGCGCTTTTAGCTTCTCCCCCAACCTCCCACTGGCCTGCAGGTAAACCCACACAAGTGAATGCTGCTCTCTCATTGGCTATAGACGATCGCCGATGTTATTTTCAGTCAAAACTCATTTCACATGACATGATTTGAATCGCCAACAGCTCCAGATATTTAGCACGCTAAATATCTCATGGGTGTTCTCTCATCACGTCTTTGATAGTTCATACTGTGTGATTGTCACTCACAAGCATGAGCACTGATTTGATTGTGATTTCAGGCATTTGTCGGCGATTTCTCAAAACCTGTCGGCGAGTCAAAATCAGGAATAAAATCATGCAGTCTGAACTCGGCATTATTCTACCCTCATTTATTCATAGCCTTATCAAAACCTGAATGTGTAAATGTCACAAAAAG